GATTTTCAAGCTGAATATGATAGTACTTTGAATTTCAATAGAATTTTGATACTCCAAGGTCCATTGAAGATCAATAGCAATGTGAAACTTAAAATCCTGGAAAGTTTGAGGTATAAAATAACAGAACATTATCATAAAATGCAGTTTGATTGTATCTATCAATATCCTTACATCCATTACTATCTGTCATGCCACTACTACTATCAATTATACTCCCCAGTCAACCGGTAGTGGCCTATTATGATGTCAAAATACGTTTTGAGCCACAAAGTTGCGTTGAGCTGTCCAAGTGGTGTGGAGCTGTCGGGCACTCAGCGGAGTGCCCCCAAAAGTGAACAAGTGAGCTTTAGGGGGTTAGCCACAACCGTGGCGTGAGTACATTCTCATAACAGGCTATTCCAGGGCGACTGGTTTCAATCCGGGTTGCCTTTGCAGAATACACAGGGTGGGGCCACATGGAAGCACTATCCTCACCAGATGTGATTATTGCACTCATGTATGATAGCCTGATAACACTTCATTCTGTTGAAATAGTTACTTCAATGTGACGGAAGCATGTTGAGTATGGCAAATCGGGACTTGGAACACTGTATATGGAAACCTCTGATGGGTATAAGTACGGTATGGCGGTCTCAGGCACTGGAGAAATAAACAAGAACGAAGTCAATTGCATTCCTAAGAAGCCACTGTCTTTATCTCCAACAGCCTCTCTGTCTCACAAGTCTTTACCTTTCTCCATTTCCACATTCTCAGTTACCTTCCTTGACCGACAACACATTCTGTTGTAATATGGGTTCATTATGCGATTGAGCTCATTACGCAGTTGACTACCACAGAGTTTCCTCGGAAACTCTATCGCGGTACTAGTCTGGTTATCCCGCTCGCGTTTCCTTTCTCTTTACCGCTCGGCTATGTTGTATTGTTGTTCTTGTTTTTCTTTTTTCTCTCGCACTAGGTATATGTCATAGGCGGTTGTAGCGCGCTCTCGAGTAGCATAAGTAGGGCCTGATAGCCCCCCGGTAGAGCATTAATCAAGCAAGAAGTACAACTTCAAACAAGAATTACAACACATTCCTTTCTTTGACGCCGAGTGACAGTGTGTGATCCTCCAATTCCCACCCGCCCGGCTGAGTGACAAACTTAATAACAGGAATCCACCCCCCTGGGGCCCGCAGTTCATCGGCCCAGGGCAAATACGCTCTTAAGGCCTATTTATGATACCATAATCCCTAGAGTACTGTACCTGGTTTGCGGAAGTCCGGGATTCCATGTTACCTTGTAGTGGTGGAAGCGACGGTGGGGCTTTGGGAAAGGGAGGTACCGCTATTGAGAGGGAAAGGTTACGTTAGTCTTGGTCCAAAGAACCTCACATCCGGGGGTTAGTTAGCTGAGTGGCATGGGTGGAATGATATCATTATAAACCCTTTTCCCAGCCTTTAAATGATGAAGACAGCGATTGGGCAACAAAAATGGGTGGCTATATGTAGAAGCGTAGCCGATTGATATATTAGCCACGTGGGACTGATAAGAGACTTTTGTTGTGGCTTGCTCAACAAAAAAACTTTTATCAGACCCACTTGGCCAATACATCTATCTCCCACTCATATTGACGGCTTGAATGAGCCGCTCGTCGCGCTTCATGCCAGGCTTCTTATGATAATTCCCTAAAGGTTATTGTCCTGGAGTTGCCAAATGTCCGGCTATTCCTGACCGGAAAGCCTTTCATCCACAGTGATTTCTGAGAAGTACTGTACTTCTCCGGAGCGGATACTACTTGTAGATACTTTGCATCTGGGCATGAATATGCTAAGCACTTTAACAATTGTGGCGAGAATGTGATCCTTAATCTTATCAGCTGGGCACGCAGCGTGATAATCAATACGCGACTAGTCCATGGACGGGGCATGGGCTTCAATGTGCCTCGGCAGGCCTCTCCTGCGGAAATCCTGCTTCTTGCCCGTTAGCGATATGAAGGTGTGCCCGACTGTTAGGACGAATTTGCGCGGGTCCTGGAATTTCGTAATGGTGTAGAAGGTTGTGTGTGTTGGTGCAGAAGAAACCTATGGCGGGGGGTCGGCCTCTGGGTGCGGGAGATTTATAGTTTGGGAGTTGGGGCGGTCCCATGCCCGGTTTGCGGAAGTCCGGGATGCGGGCGGAGGTGGAGATTCCAGCGCAACACTAGGAGGCATGTTACCTTGTAGTGGTAGAAGTGGCGGTGGGACTTTGGGAAAAGGAGGTACTAGAAAGACTATCTTTCGGCATTCCCAGCAAGGAATAAATTCTGATATTACTCGTACAGGAAGGTCTTGGCGGCAGAGTGTTTCTGGAGGCGTGTCGGGATCAACCTGGGTGAATAGTTTGGCGCCATTTCTTAGTTTTTGAAGGTACTCCGTCTTTCATTCGGTTGGCCATGATACCGGGGTTTAGAGAGTAAGATTGAAAGTTACTCGTAGCTTCTAGGATAGTGGATGTAGAGCACTAAGAGCCTCACATTCGGATGTTAGTTAGCTGAAGAAGCTGACCGTCGAGGGTGGAATGATGGCATCAATCTCTATTGGTACTTGTAAAGAACGGTATCATACTTGAGTAGGACATATACCGTCCAAACCCTCTAAAAGCTTCCTTTATGAACAGTTTTTTAACGTATGATGGCCGTAATGCAAAATGTTCTTATTTTGTGGCAATTACAGCTGTGTCCGGACACCTAATTTTCAAGAATCACGATATGATACAAGTCCTGGTGTCATGACCCTCACATTTCGTGAATAAAATCGTTAGCACGGCCCTCTGTGCAGTTGTAGAAAATCCTCCCTACCACAGACCTTCACCATAAGCCCCCACTGTCCCTAACGCAACCATCCCAGAAAGAATGTAGGGAGGGGAGAGAAGTTGAAAACTCCAACTCCGCAACCACCAGAACCATGATAACAACCACCACGACTGTAGCGATAAATTCCGGGAGGCACACAGGTCTTCGAATAACTCACGTAATGGCTAGACGCATTTTTCCCGCGAAGCGATTATTTTCGCCGCTCTAGTCGATGCACAGTTCGCGGGCGGCAGAATACTGCATGCTGTTTCTACCTGGCAAAGCTGTCCCTCTTTAACACCGCGTATCATACCTTCCCCCTCGGCTACCCAAGAAGTACTTGTGACAATTGCCACAGTGGTCACAAGTAGTTCCCTACCCCTTGTACCAAAGGCTGAAAAATATTTCTATAACTAATGCTCACCCCTTATCCACTCACAGTTATTTCTATCATACCAACTGTACTCGTAGGCTACCAACCACACTCTAAATTCCCCCGATTTGACGATAGTAAAAAGCAGCGATTGCCAGCTTTCACAATGCCACCCCAGAACATATCACTCTACGACACGACTCCAGAACGCACTACTCTATAATGCGCGACGCAAGAACGTACCGGCTTGGCTAGTATTAGATACTCGTATGCCCAGAGGGGCCCGAGGCCTAGAAGCTGTCCTCGATGTTGAAGGAGCAACTAAATCTTGATGTCCGGAGTTCGTATAATAATTATAGACTAAACTTCGTTTCTTCGCCGGCCGTTCTCACAGAATATCACTCGGGTGAGAGGACTATCATGAGGCTCCTCTATGTACAGTACTGGCGTGGCGTATCATAGCCGAACTCGGAAGTCAGAGGAATCCTGCATCATGCTACCCATCTGCCCTACGCTTTTTATATATGATAAGTGTATAGCGCCTGGCACCCTTCCAGCCTCTTGTATAATCATACCTTGATCGGATCTTGAAACCCTGACCTTATGACATTGTATTTTTTGCCGCCGGTCACAAGCCCTGCACTCTAGCTTACGGGTACGATACTCCCCTCCTAATAGTGCATAATATCTACCGCTACCAATAACCTCAAATCCACCTCCCAGGAAGATAAGTTCTTGGCATACCCCCCTCTCTCCTTTTCACTTTCCGCTTTTCCTTTCATAATAACAGTGATCATTATTACGATATTATTTCCATCTGTTAGCCCTACCCTCTACATCATACGACCCATCCCTGAACCTCCCCTGGGGACTACTGTCCAGGGTTTGGTTGGGCTTTTGTTACATTGCGCCCTAGCTATCATAAAATAACCGTCCATTTGCCCACCCGTGCTCCTCAATAGTGTGATATGGCCGAACCGCAGGGGAAGACCCCAAGACCAACCTTAATAAGTTGCAATCACTAGTCGGCCTACGATAATAATATTATAATAATATTATTATCATTATAGAATCAGAACAGAATAAATAACGGGACGAAAAGCATCTATCGCATATGATATAGTTCGTCAGTCGGCCACTCACAACTGAAGAGGGCATTAACCCTATGCTCAAACAGCGACAGTCTACCAAGCTCTATCTAATAATAGCATATACCACGAAAGGAATTCCATGTGAAACGACGCCACTCCCTGCAAGTTTTAGTGCATATCATAGTAAACAAGCACAATACAAAGAAATCCCTATGGATAAGAAGTAACCTCACTTGTTTACAGGCGGGCCAGAGAGATGCCGGACAGCCTGGAACATATTCTGGAATTGCATATCCAAGAGTTGGCCTGATATTATGGAAGCTGGACTTCACCCTCTATAGACTAATATTTCTACTCCGTGCCCAGGTGTGATGATGATGTCGGTGATATTTGTGAATGCCACACACAGTAGTTCACTTAGGCAGCTATGGATTCATAGCGAGGGGCATTGATATCTACGCATTGTGTTTGACCCCCGACACACATCATATCCTTGTATCTGCCCTTGTATCTAGCGGTCTCAAGAAGGCTCCTTAAAGATAGAGCTATGAAAAGAGACCCATAAACTCAGGGGACCGATATTCTTACAAACAAGTAACTCTACGAACTACGCACTTTACGGGATTTCAGCAGTCTGTCGCCCAATCTGTGCACTTGTACATAGTGGTTCGACTCTCTAGGGGTCGGGGACATGGGTACAATACAGGAGCACAGGTATCAACACAAATAGAGCATATTTTCCATTCAACCGTGTAGCGCTCATGTAGCACACTCTTGAATTAAGCTATCTGTGACAGCGAATAACGGAAGTTTAATAATACACAAGGACAAGGTCAAACGCATGTAAGACAAAAGTTAACATCCACAGCAAATAAAAATAATAAAAACAAACACGCAAATCAGGCAGCCACACCAAGTTTTTTGCCCTTATAAGAGTCCGGAACTGCGCCAAAGAAACACCGTCGTGATACAAATATTAAAGCCATGATACCGAATCCCAAACCCCACCAACCCCAGATCCTGTAGAAAAAGGAAACCGATCATCCTCACGTAATCACAAATATGGCATCCAAAGGTTGTCAAGTTGTGCCAAGTTCATTGGGTTTGATGCCTTCGAAATGAAATCGATAACAGTTTGGTTGGCCGGGATACCGCCAGCACCGCTTGACTGTGCTAATGATGTCGCTCTACGAACGATAATTTCTGAGTTAGCTTGTACCCGTTCTCGCAGTTGCTGTTCCCCTATACTAGAACGATGCTGTTGAGTGAACCAGAAAATCATCTCATCGCGCACAAACACACTCAGATGTTGTTCGAGTTCAAACTGCGATTAATGTTAGGACATGTTAGGACATGCTCAAGTGTATGAATAGGTGGCAAGCAAATTCTATAACATACCTCAGGTTCCGTAAGACAGCGTGCAATGGCCATGACGGCACAAGAAAATATCCCTTCAATAGCAATCGGGCCCATTAGTGTTTGAATATTCGGACTAAAGCGGAATGGGACCGATTCGTTGTTGTGGAAGTATGCGTTAGTTGATGCCATAGCAGGGATCAATTCGGACCCCCAAATATTTCCAGTCTCTCTGGCAATAAACATTTTGTGCGGGAACCGACTGCCCATATTCATAACATAAGTCATGAAAGTCAAAGCCGCATACTGATAGCTGAATTGACGACGGAAGAGGAAGAATTCCGTGAATGAGGCATACGATTTGGTCATGAACTGTCCATAGTTAATCAATATACTCCAAACAATATTTCAAGTTACCTACCTCAAGCGCAATGTTAGGGGGAACCATGGTTGACTGAATAGAATTAAATATTTCCAACTTGATGTTTGCGTCAACCTGCTGCTGCCCGCCTCTGCCGGGATCCAGCGAGGCAATAACCTTCTTGAGCGAGAAGATTAAGGGATCATCCTTGCTCATTCCTGTCCTCCGGCAATGGTCTTCATAAATGCCCTGCAAGGATATGTAGGAGGCATCATCCTGAACGATTCTAATATGCGGTGCCAAGGGGACCATCAGTGGCAAATGGAAGCCGAGATTTCGGCGACGGCTTTCCTTTCTCCTAGCAAGTGCACTATACATATTCTATTAGCTTCAGACGATCACCCAACTCTAGAGAACATACCCATTGAAAATACGGAACAGTTGCAATATCCTCTCCTCTCTGCGACAGTGCCTTGCAGCAGGGTGTTGGATTGCAAAAGTATGTACGCTTCCATCATGTCCCCTCAATTTTAGGCGTCGGTGGCACACACCATACCCGCGGACAACATCTACTCGGGGGAGGAAGCGATCAATACGAACGAAGTCCTTGTTGTTATCCTTGTGCTGCGCAGGTGTTAGTAGGTGAAAATAGGGCGGGGGTTGAGATTATTTACCAGAAGGTATTGGCCAGGAACCTCAACATCGTCGAACCTCTGAAACCTAAACTCGCTCAAGTGAGGGCTATATGCTTCAAGGTTCTGATTGGGCGGTCGACGATCAAGCTTCTCCTCAAATCTATCCCTCCAGCGCCGAAGCCTCTCAATATACGAGAACAAATTGAGGCGTTCGTTTACAAAGTCTGCCTCAAACGCGACCCGGATATGAGCAGGGAGAATAGTCTCCGCGAAGCGAGTGATGTTGGATTCAGTAGAGGGTGGGAGCTTCGAGTCCTCAAGTGAAGGGTTCATCCTCGCAATCCACTGTAATTTGTTAGTTGGGCTTAGCTGACCTGCACGCGTTCATTGTAAAGCGGATCTTACCTGCAGTCCGTCATTCAAAAGTGCAACAATCAGTCTATATGCGTCTTCATCCGGTGGGCACTTGAAGAATTTTTGTATTTGATCGCCCATAGTCTCCATTGAAAGAGCAAGGAGGGGGAACGCAGTCTTAAGAACAGACATAATCTCCTCTGCGTATTCCCAAGGTAAACGCTTGACCGGTGGCTGGGGACTGGGCACAGCGGGGGTGGGTGATGACATATTCTGCCCTGTTGGAACCGGTGCCGGAGATCCGGCCTCTGTTTTGTGTTAGATAGTTAACGGGAAATCGGGCTTGGGAAACGTACTGATAACTTGGGGGCCAGAACTTATGGCAGACTGAGGGCTAGACGCCATTACTGTTTCAATTCCATTGGCTTGTGTTTGTATCGTAACACTAGTCTGGCGACCTGAAAGAATTGCTTGGCCAACGATTGGGGAACCAGCCTTTCCACGATTTGATGCTGCTGCCTGGGCGGTCTGCTTCTTAATAACTTGGTAATCCTCACGGCTTGTGCGCAGCAAGAAGTATAAGGCCTTGAGAAGTTAGCAAGTAGATAGTGTGAAGAAATGACAATGACCTACCTGAGGAAAGTGTTTGGCGATCTTAATTAGAACTGTTCGTGCAAGGCGAGCTTCCTTATGGGAGAGCGAGGTTAAAAGCTGCGGGATGTAGGTGATCCAGTACCAAATCGGAATGTCGCCCTTGTAAGCATCAAACGCCCCAGAGATCGAGGCACTAGCATCATCTAAACTCAATAACCAAAGGACTCGTCCCAGCAACTTCCTTGCTTTCCCACTCTTGTAAAGACCAGCCGCTTCTAAATAGCAGCTAACAGCATTTCCCGCGGGTTGCATATCTTGGGGATTCTCCCTGAATAGCGAGTCATTATAGTAGCCCCATTCTGCCCAGGCTTTTGGTAGCTTGAGGTCGTGGTAAAGCGCGAGACCAAATGCCTCGTTGGCGTCTTCTTTCTGCTTGAGCTTTGACAAAAACATTCCTTTTAGGGTGTAGAACTCGGCCTTTTGACCAGCTCCGAAATATCCTAGATTCGTATTATTGATCACCTCAAGTCCCTGTGTGAGTTCGTTGGGGTTCTGGTAGTGACACTTAGCCTGCTCCCGGAGTTTGAGGAAGGCCTCTTGTATCTCGATGTTTGGTAGGGTGTAGATTTTACTCAATTGATTGATACACACCTCCGGGAGTTGATGTTTCCGAGCAACATGGGCAAAGCGATTGATAATCCAAGCAGTCTCATGGTATCCGCGATAGGCGTAAGAACTGTTGCTGCTGCCACCTGCGCTTTGGGTTTGACCTGGAAGAAGTGGCAGGTAAGTGTTGTTAATTGAATGGAATATGTGTTGCCTCCAGGTAACGAGATCGCGCCAGCTATTTATATCATCCCAAACATTTGGTAACCGATCTCTCCAAGTACCCAATAGCATCTTAAGCTCTTGTGACTTAGCGTCGAGGTTCTGCGCAGTTGTTGTAGAAAGGCTACTGTAGATAACGCTCGCATCGTGTAACTCAACAAGTTGCTGGAACGCTTGAAGGAGGGGAATATGTGCGTTAGTGATCCTCCGCGGTAGGTTATGCCACTTGCGAAGGGATAATTGGATGGCTTCGTCACATAACCTGGAAAATTCTCCCGGCACTTCTGTTTTCTGGTGAACTTTCTGCAATGCCATAAAAGCAGCGAAAAAGTACCGTCGCGGAGTCGGGGCATCCATGAGGGATTTGATAGTAGAATCCATGCGTTCCCCGTCTGCTCCATTCCAATTCTCCAACAATCTCCAACCGCACTCCAAAAGAAGGTCATTATAATTCTCATGTTTGGCGAACTCGCTTAAAATCTCCCATTGTTGTAGTTTCTGCGCGCAAATAACCCAGTGGTCTTCCCAAAGATTATATTCAGAACTTGAGAATGGTAGAGCTCCCGTGCGTGCTTTGATTTGAGCTCCCTCATACATCTGCTGGGCCTTATCCCACATCCCGTTCTGCTCGTACGAAATGGCAGCGTTGGTCTCTAAGTATTGGGCCCGTCGTCGCCACAGGCCGTAGAACAGGTCCTCTTCAGAAAGCATGGAATACATTTCCGCCAGCGCATCTAAGTTACTCTCACGCACAACAAGACTGTCCATAGGAGGGACGTTCGCCGAGTCTTCGAGGAGATGAATCGCGGAGTACCAGGAATCGTGAGTTTTGCTAAGGAATTTGACCATGTGAGGAGGTAAGGTTAATTTCGGGGATGCACGCTCAACTCCTTCAAGAATACTTTGGATGACATTGGGCCGCTTGTCCATTTGCCGATGATGCCATTCCTTGGATAGAAGCGAAACAATGCCCCGTAAAAGATCTTGGCGATCCTCCTTGCCCAATGCCGACCAACATAACGGGAACAGCGCAACCCATATTTGATGTCCTACCTTCGGATCGAGATGTTGAAGTTGAGCCATTGGCTCAAAGATATCCCCAGCTCTTACCTCCGCCAAACTTTGGCAAAACCTTCTATGACGAGCCATGAAATCTTCAAACTTTTCGTCCAGCATCAAAGAATCCCTTCGCTCATCTAATACATATGCCATTACTGCGGAAGATGCTGGTGCGACTCTTAGATCGTCCTCATGAAGTTCAATCCGGAGATCCATATCCACCGACCCAAAAAGTAAATGCGATGCTTGATTTAGCCAATAGGAATCCGCAAGGATTTCCCAATTTTGAGATGCCAAAACAAAGCTGAGTCGATTGCTAATCGTCCGCGAGAGACTCCGGTCAAAGATTTGCAAGAACCGATTACGCATGTTAACATCCTTCGCCCGGGTTCCGATCAAAAAGGCCGGTTCAAGCCGGACCGTAAGCTCTGTCTTAGTGATCACGGGGTGTTCGTATATATCAATCACCAAGTCCAAAAAGCTACTGCAAAGTGCTGGATCAGGTCTTGACTCGAATGACAGCATCTTCGATAATACAGCTATTTTTTCCTTCAACGTTGGGAAAGACTCCGTCGATCCAAATACCCATCCCCGCACAATGTGTAAAATTTTCAAACATAACTCCGAGCTTGAAGACCTCTCAACCAACTGAGCCATCACACTCAAGAAGGGCCTACGCTGGTCCCCCAGCACAGATACCCTTGCGGACGCAACGTCTATCACCATTCGAAGGAGCTCTGTCGTAGTGTCTGGATCAAAAACCTGAGAATTACCTCCAGTGTTTGGTTCTGTCTTAGCCGAATTCGGCAGATTGACCACTGGCGCAGGTCCACCCGGAGGTGCCGAAAGGTGGTCTTTCCCAAGTTTCTGAAACGCTTTCATGAGCGCCGGTATGTGGTCATCTATAACGGTTGGACGTTTCTCAGATAAGGTCCAAAGGATATTGACACTGGACATGAGATTGGTGTTCAGATTCTCCTGTACAATGGTAGTAAGTATGGAAATAAACGAGTCGGATGGCGAGTCCGTCTGCTCCTCCTCCTCCTCTTCCCCTTCCACCCTAGTAGCAGGAATGGCCTGAAGCACCCGCGCAAGCACCGGCTGAAGACTCTTTTGTACTTCGGCGTTATCAGACCTTAGGGACTTCTCCAGTATTTTTTGGATTTGCGGCAGGTGTTGCATGATCCAGTCATCAGACTTGAGATCAACAATTATCCCTATGACCCGTAACCCATTAAGGAACCCGGGAAGTGTATCTTTCGTGATATCATTGAGAACAAGGTGTTTTTCGGTGACCTTCGGGAACAAATCGATATCTAGATCCCCCCAGTACCTTGAGCTAAGAAACTCCTTCAGCAAACCAAGTGCATTCCAGCATAGTTCACTAGAAGAAAATTTCTCCTGGAGGCCGCAAATAAATGTCACCAAATGCTTGACTACGTGCATACGAAGCACAGTTGGAACCGCATATTCCGTTTTGTCCGAGTTGGACACAGAGCCAGGAGCCGGCGGGGACCGTGAGTCTGCCGGCAATTGACCGTACTTCCGCTTTCTGGATGGTGAGGCCTCAGGGCTGGTCCTCGCAGCCTCAGAAATTCGACGCTTTTCCCAATCCCGAATTAAAATAATAAGATTTATGGATAACTTTTTGTTTTCTGTTGACGGGTTCGGAAAATGAAGAACAAGCTTGGGTAAGGAGGTAACGATCCAACTCAAAAAATGCTCTCTAGACTCGTAAAACAAATCACCGTGCTTCACGAGAAACTGAAATATATTGGTCATTTGTTGTTGATTGTGACCCTCCTCAGACAAAATGCGCCGGGGCCATCTAGCCCAGATCGGATACCGAGGGTCACTAACATTTGGTACTCGCTTTTTCAGCACCGGAGCGATAAGTTCGAGAGCTTGTGTGACTAAGGCCCTTCCTTCGTGTTGATGTGCCTTTAATAAGGCTACATAAATCTGAATTACAATCTTCGAGGGTGTATCGTAGTGGCGAATGAAGAAAGCAATCAAGACATACGCCGCCTGTTTATTGACTATATCCTCAAGTTTGATATAATTCCAGCCAAATTTGATGACATCTTTTCTGGCTTCATTCAAGATGGTATTATGATCCCTAATCAAAAGGGCTGACATCTGCAGAAGTTCCATCCGGGAGTGATCTAATCCAGGAGAGGCGTCATCCCCCAGATCTCCAAGGTTTGGCCTCCAGATTTTGGAGTGAATGGCTTCAATCATATTTCTGTCAACAAGCTTTTGTCCGTTAACGGGTTTAGCCCCGCGCTGAACATCCATAGCAAGTATGGGATTAACCAGGTAGTGAAAGGCAAATGTTTTGGTCTCCTGAGTCGAGGATTTCCCGGAATACAAATCCAGACACCTATATATCACATTTCGCCACCGTTCAATGGACCCGCCACATATGATCCGAGAATAGATGTGGCTGGTCAGAGCATTAGATCTCTTAAGCTTGTTAGATGTCTGTGCGTCGATCACCTTCAAATAGTCAGAAATAGCCCGCTGAGAAAAGGAGGAATCAAAAACGTACCTGGAAAAGGAACTCCAAATCGTCTTCCGCATATGTGAGATAGGTCATAAATATCTCGAGTAATGTCTCAGAAGATTGTTCAACAGCCAATCTAACAGGAACCGCAACCTTCCCTTCCTTCAATCTATCTCTCAATTCAATCCCAGCCCGAAGCAATTTCTCCATCAAATCGCGATTTTGCACAAGCCACTCTTTACTGCCAGGGTGCTTCACGATGGCGTTAACAATATTTGCCGCGTTTACTGTAGCAATGAATCTGTCTTCCATCCTGATATCCGAGTGGATCGTTGATTCCATAAAACGTGGGACGTCACCACAAACAACAGTACGCAATGGCCCACTAGTGTCATCTGCAAGAAGCTGCCAAAAAATCCTGCCGTATTTGATATCGATTAGCTTGGGCTTCATAAACGCCCAGGTGTCGCTAGGATATCGATTGACGAATTTCAAGAGAGGAGCTCGAAATGGGCTATGCCGTGTTCGCCGAAGTTTTTCCTCTAGATCTATTACAATCTTAAACATTTCTTCCAAGAACTGCACTGCTGCCGGTGGAAGCAAGTGGAATATGTTTAATATTGACGCTATGACTCGAATGTTTTGGTTCTGCTCGAGCAATTTGAATGAGGTCTGCTGGAGGGTATTTGGTTCGGCCAAGTTCTTCAGGTGGTCTAGTAACCTACTACCAATCTCCACCTTGAAGTAATTCGTCAGAAGCTCCAGTAGTCTTGCCAACCCCTCCAAACCTGCAACATTTAATCTCTTTGGGTCAGAAAGGTTCATCAAGATCGGGCGAAGACCGTTCTGAAGGAGATCCTTTGGCAACTTATTTGTCTGTGCAAGGACCCCTTTAAGCCCCGAATTTGCTGCGTCGATGACCTCCGGAGATTTTGAGTAAAGAGATTTGAAAAACACTGAAATAATCCGCCCTCTTGTTTGAGTTTTATCAGGGGAAGCGAAATCGGGGTATGTAATTGCCATAGACAATAGCTTAATGCAAACTACACGTAAGTTGAGGACGGACTCAGTTGTTCGGTGTTCGGGGACACGGTTGTTCGACAGGGCATCGTCATCAGCATCTGCAAGGGCAAGTGCTTCCATCATAAGACGATTCATCTCCTCGTTGAATTCCAGAAAGGCGGGTTGGAGGCTGAGACAAAAAGTTATAGCATCGATATAGCCAATCTGACTCGCAAACGGAAGGGCGCGAAGTGGCTTGTTGAAAATAGGTGTTAACAAGCGATCTTTGACAGGAGTCATTAATGTGTGTATTTCTATGTCAAGTATACTCGACAGGGTTGCAAAAGATTTCTGCGCCGTCTCCCTTACATGCTTATTAGGATTGGATATTTCGCAAATGAGCAAAGCGCATAAGTTGAAACTTTTCGAGTGATACGTCGTGATTTCCTCCTTAGTGACATTTTTGTTGCAACTCCGCAGAACAAGATCAAGTGTGGATTGGGCACATTCCCGAGTGCTAGCCGGAAGGTCTGGAGGCATGTCCTTGATGACATATAACAAGGCCCGAACAAAATCGTGTTGACGGTCCACCATCCAAGCCTCTCCCAAATCGAGATCCTCAGTCAGTGCACGAATCCCTAAGCACCCACCAGATTTAGGATACCATTCCTCTTCATAACAGCAATGACAGAAGGTTTTCGCCATTGAAAGAAAGAAGGGAAGTTTATGAACGTTCTCCGTTGATCCAAAGAGGGTGGCCGCAGCGTCGTAGATCACCTTCAATGCTTTCTTGACCAGTTCCCTCACAGCTTTACTCTCCGAAGAGAAGCAATGGGCGAGAGCCTCAGACAAGCTTCTGTTGTCAAGATACATTGGGCCTTCGCCACTATTGACGACAAACTGCTGTTTCTTTTGTCGCATTTCTGTTGTTGCTCTCCCTACTTCCAAGATTGTGAAATGCCGGCATACATCAAACACTAGTGAGGAGGCATCCTCCTCAAGCTCAGGGATAGCAACGGCGTGTATAACTGACTCCAGAAGTTTCCGGAGGACAACTTCTTGGTCGTGCTTTTTAAAAACAGGTTTATGTCGGTCGGAGGATGGAATACGAGCATCTACGAGATCCGATGATCCGCTCGCCAAATCATTGGCCTGTAACCGGACTAACAGAGCGAAATCCTCTGGTAGTGGATCGTACCCCACAAAAAGTTTTAGAGCAGAGCTCAAAAGCCTCAGAGATTGCTGTTTATAAAATAGGTCGGTCTTTTTATCTTGTGTGGTTTTCAAAAGCTTGTTATCAAATATCTTTTCCATAGCTAGGTCAACCGCGCGAAGCACTGGGAACGCCCGTTCACCGGGCGCTCCATGGAGTTTAACATTGACGCTGCAATCGTCATCGGCATAAAGCCCGAACGCTAGAGGAGGAGGATGTGTCAAAAACCGACGATTTCTACCCCCAAGTTTACCTAAAATTCGCATAGTCGTGTGGCTGTGAACATGGCTGTAGGGTAACGGTTTGAGGTGATCCCATAGCGCAGCCATCAGATCGTCAATAACAGGGGCCATGATGGGATCCAGATAGTCTGCCGTCAAATTGTCCACACAAAGCTCGAGCGTCCTCAATCCTTGAGTAACCAACTCCTGTCCGGCCCTGAGAGCTACCACTAACGGCTTCATCAAATAGCTCAAGTGTGGCAAGAGATTGCTCAAGCGTGCTGGGACCGTGAGACACAATTCAACGTACAGATCCCTCTCCTGGACTTTCCGAGCCGAATTCAGCAGAGTATTTAAAACCTCGAGAAGGGTTTCCAGAAGAGGCAAAATCTCTTTGTATAGGTGTTCAAACCTCCCACCACCTATGCTGCGAAACAAAGACCTCAGAAGCAGGAAGTAATTCATGGGCTCCTCCGCAGTGGTTGATAGACTGATCGACTTGAGAACAATCTTACTAACGTGCGGTAGCAGGACTTGTTCATTCTGAGCCGAGAAAAGAGTGACGGCCATAAAGGACAATTTGAAGAGCCGTAACAGCACTTGTGACTTCCTTGGATCTTTAGTCCCCACTTCCTCGATATGACCCATTAAAAACTGGAGAAGCATCCCACAGAAGCTTGGAGAAGTCGCTTCACTAGCGAGGAAAAACTGGGGGACATGTAGGAGCGCCGTATGTTCAAACATCATCTCATACAGATGCGGAATTTCAGAATGGAACACTTCGTGGAAAGTTGCCGGGTCGATGCAATGAAATACGGTCGCAAAAGTCTCCAATAATTCCTTCTCTTCCTTTCCATTCGGAACCATAAAGTGATTGGTTAGGAAGTCTACCGGCGAGGTATTTGGATCAGATACTTTCGCTTCATGCTCAACGCCGTAGTATCGAAAGACTCTGGCTCCCTCTCGAAATAGTCCGATTATGACATTGACCTCTTCTGCGCTAAACCCGAATGCGACCTCATTCCAATTTGGAGGGTTGTTGTCTGCCGATTGGAGGGGTGGGTTACATGACCGTAAAGCAAAAAGCATGCTCTTGAGACCATTCATAAGGTTTTTAAACAGAAATTTATTATCTTATCACCATTGTTATTACCATTAGCATATGAGGAAAAGGCGGAACGGAGTAATCACCCGTACCTGAAACTGGATCGGCACCCCTCTCCCTAGGATTGGATGTCTTGATCGGCGTTGCCGTAAATATGTCTATTTCATCATGCTCATCCCGTCTATTCCTCTCCGGCTCCATCACAACTTCCTCAGGCCTAGTTTCTTCCTTGGCCAGCCAATTCATCCTGCTCTGCTTGACAGCATTCTCATATTGTCTGTTCATGGACTTGAATTTTTCGGCGATGGCATCAAGGATCATGATCAAAAAGTGCCGAGCTGCGATGCGATGTTAGAGATCTGATCTGTTATTCAAAGATTGAGTCTGAAAAACTCTTACCCTCCTGCTTGTTCTCTAATTTCGCTATAAACCCAGCCAAATTTAAGAGCAGCTTTGCACTCATTGTCTGAAAACTTGTGCCAGGGAAGTCATCGTGCAAATTCTTCGTATACACCTCGACAGTCCGTCCAATTTGATCGCGATCTAATGCATCTCGAACATGGTGGATCAAATCTGCTAACATACTGTATGCTAAGGGCCTGTCGCATTGCTTTTAGCCCCCCGCACCCTTCTTGTATACGGTCCAACTCACCTCATAGTTTCATAAACAGTTAACCCGTCTCCAATAAGAACTCGCTCATCTAAGAGCTCGTCTATCTTGCCCAGAAATATCTTCCGAAAGTTGAAATTGATTATGTGACGTGTAGCCACGAGCAGCTCCTAAGTGAAACTGTTTGTAAACTCCAGACCAATAGCAGAGCGGCCATGCTTACCTTGCGAGCTCCAGAACGTTCTCTTGGACAATCTTTTAGCAACCTCACCACAATCTCAGGAAGTGTGGGCAAAAATTCCTGGAGCTGATGCGCATATACTCGCAGCACATAAGCCAAAAAACTCATGGTCTAGATATTATATTAACAATCTTTCATCATATCACACCTCAAACGGTCTTAGGACCCACCTTGACCTGCGCTGTTATGAACTCCCCAAATGCGACCCTATTCTTGATGTTAGAACTAACGCCTGTGAATACCTCCCTTTTAGCCTTAGCCAGTCTATGCGCCTCCTCCTGAGGTCCGGCCTGCAGCAGCAACATTTCCTTGATTCGAGGAACAAATAGCTTAACGTTTTTGTGTACACAGGGTCGATGAGCTTGAAATAAGCTGACCACTATGATCGGGCATTCCGCAAGAACCTTGAAACTCTGCATTCCTTTAACAAGCATTTTTGCGGGCTGTTGCGCCTCTGTCGCGGGATCCTGACCCGGCATCATTGGAGACATTGGCTTAGGGCTCTGGGTCATCCCCAAATTCTGCGCAGAATTTCCTGGTGTACTAGGCATCCCCGGCGTACCTCCCGATGTGGTAGACGGATTGTCGAAAGCTTCCTTTACAGCTTTGGGCATCATAGTAAACATTTCCTGAATCAAATCCAAGAACGGCTGCACCTTCTCTGTAAGCTGTTTTTGATAATGTCTCTGAAAATCCATTATCGTCTTCATACACAGAACAGCATTGTCCTCATTCTCGGTCCTAACAAGCGTCATTAATAATGTCATCAGATCGCTAGCATATGGTTCCAGAGCCTCCGGTGGGGTATATGGCAACCGGTGGATCGTATCGAGAGTAATATTCCGCAATTTCTACAAATTTAGTTAACCAAGTTAATTAAAAGAGAAAATGTTAACCGAACCTGCTCGGGGGATGTAGACACAAAGACAGGTTGACCACTTAGTATGTTCATAAACACAGGCATTAACTTCGCTAAAAATTTCGTGTATTCTGCCGGCCCCTGTGTAAACATATCAATCGAGTCACGGAGCTCCCCTGCGATTTGTAGTTTTAACTTGGCATCTAGCCTCCCATTCCCGTTAGTTATATCACTGTTGCTGCAAAAGGAAGAAATATTAAAAACAAACCAAGCGAGCTATCCCCCAGCCTCGCGGCATACACGTCCGCGTGGGCAGTTCCGCCCGCCATGATGTTGTAGGTTCCCCCAATCAGCCGAGGTGTATTTGGCGTTGACAGTTATCGAGATTGCGACCCAACAGTGGGAAATAGCAGGAGCTTAGACCACAAGAAACAATCCTTTGTTAGCTGCGGTAGTTTGGCTCCGTGGACCGCTGCTGAAGTTGAGTTGTGTGGTCTGGGCAAAACGGAGACGACTCACCTTGTGCTCTATAGAAATGACTTGCGACCGCAAGAGAGCATCAGGGGGAAAGTTGAGGAGCAGGAAAAGGAGTAAGCGCAAAGGAGTGATGTATAAATTTCTCTTGAGCGATCGGATGGCTTCTTGCTCACGCGAAGTGTTAACCTATTTCTCCGCGTGCCGCTGAGTGTGGAGGATGCGAGGCTGCAAGTTGAATTATGGAGAAGGAACACAGGGCGAAGGACGAGCCTCTTATGCAAATTGTAGCGCCAAGCCTTTCACCTCCAGGAGGGTACAACCACTTGCTCGGTCTCAGAGCCGCAGGCGGCTCTTTCCTGCGCACGGATGAAGCAAAAAGTTCTGCCACTACTTACAAATTCCAAGTGCTCGAGTATCTGGAAGTCTGCGCGCCAAGCCCCTGAAACCACATCCAAAATTTGTGAGTCCTGGCAGCATAATTTCCGGATACTATGAGAATTGGCCGGTCGTGTTGGACACCAGAAACCAACTTTCTCGTTCACATTGAACCGGTTAGTAATGCATGCGAAAAAAAAGCAGTACGATAATTTGGAGAAATTTGTTTTAAGCACTCTTATACAGAGTTTCTCACCAAAAACTTTTTTCCATTGTTGGGCCTGTCAATCGTTGGATTCTGTCGTTGTGAGGGTTTGATTTCAGCCGTCCGGCACCACACATACTACGAGTACATGAACCAAAGTCCTCGAGCACAGCATCATGCTTAGACTACCCAGTGGTTTTGAGACATCTGACGCCCGGCCCCCAAACCCTCCGCCAAACTCGGTGTGCTCAACCTTTACCAGCACATAGAGCCCCAAAACAGCCAAGGCCTGTGGCATCAAACATTCCGACATTCCAAATATTTTCAAGAGTAATCATTGTTCTGGAGTTTATTCACTTTCACTTGGAAAGCATAACCATTAATTCCCTAGTTGTCTATGGTACCTCTCCAAGTGGTTTTCACAGGTATATGTTTGGCGGCCTACCAGCGGGAGACAACCCCACGTATTTGAGAATCCCACAGCACTCCAAGTATGGGCAGATGTCCACTGAATGCAAAGACAAATCGATAAGGTGCACCTGACACAGTTATCTCCCAAGCGGGGTCTCTATCAGCGCTAACTTGCTGGTATCATACGAAATGCCAGGGTGGGATACCCCGAAAGTTAGGTTTTAGTAAAATTTAAAAGCACACCTGAATCAGGTGCAGGACAACTAATCCGGATAGTAGGGCTAAATCCTTCCCCGCTCCGTCAAGCACATTCACAGCTATGATACTCTACTCGAAATGAGCTGCCATAAGACAAAACGAGGCTGAAATTTTGTTCTGCTGCACCCCCTCTCCCCTCCAGTCCGCACCTCCTTGTATGACGAGCAACGATACCTATTTGCTTAAATACCATAGGCAATGGTTTGTACCAATTTTTTAGTTCTAATTTAAGTATGTCCCTGAACCTCTCCGATCGGCCACGGGCGAAACATAGACCGCCAGTGCAAGTGGACGACTGCTCACAACTAACGGTAAGGAAATTTTCTAAGCCCGCAATATAATAGAAACCACAAAAGAATCACATCACTTCCTCTCATCAGACACCTCCTTGTTTCACTCCTCTTACGATGCTCTAGGAGCACTCACCATTGAATTATCGATCATCAATTATCACTCTCCTCCTCTTTCCAACACCTTGTAGGTCCCACGAGTGCGGATCGGAACAGCATGCGAACCTCTAATCCCGAGCCTAAAGAGTGCCAAAATCTTAGGTCTGTTTTGCGACTGATTAAGAGACCTCATTACTGCATTAAGTTTTAGCTATGATACCACAGAACCGCCACCCAATTGAGCACCCAATTTTATTCTGGGCGTGTTGCCCTACTGCGGTTCGTGGCCGGCCATATTACTCGCACAAATAATATCATACGTCATAAGAAAGGGGCGCTGACGCTGCTCCCAGAGAATAAAGAGATTGCAAAACGTGGAAGCCTCTGTACCAGAGTAGAAATATTTCTCTCAGGATGTGGTCAGAGTCGTGTGAGAGTTTCCTAGGCACAATTGGGGGGGGTCTTACCCAACCGATATTGGTGGGGGAACGATAAGTTCATACTACCGTACTGCACTTCAACCGCCTACCATACCGGTAGCCAAACCCAATACTAAAGTCCACTATTCACATTATCAAGCGTGGGGTGTCCTGGAAATTCCCTTACCTTATTATGAATCCTAAGGGCTATCCGTGATGTTACTTGCCCAACAAGAGTGACTTATTGGGAAGGTAATGCGCTCACGCACAACAGGTGACTGCGCGTCAGTCCCCCCATAGGGGATTGGGCCCTCAAGGATTTCATTCTTTTGGATGCTATGGTATTCTGCCAGAAGAGCATTTGAGTTCGCGGTTGTGTGAAATCACGCCCATAATCCGATACGAATCGAGCACACAGATCAAGATACAATACGGGTCGCACGGTTGGAACATGCCAAGAATGAGAGAAATATCGTCAAGAACAGGAACACCGGCGGCCTGTATAAGTATCCAAGATAAAGTTAGTAAACAGTTAATCTAAGCTAACCCGCATCATAACCCCTGCGTTATAGAGACATCTGCTGTTGTGGATACGATGGGTTTGGGAGATATCTGTGTGCCGGTACAGGGGCACATTCCTTCGAGTGATGCGGTATCGAGTGAAGTACTTTGGTTACTGAGTACTAGTAAAGCTGTTCCCGCATGCGCTTGGGCAAGATTCCTGCCGCACGATACTGTAGCATCTGTACCTGTGCCATGTGTGCTTGGATGATCTGGATTGGGTAAATCGAAACCAAGAGTGCAGAATCTCGCTCCCGGGCTCTTTTCGCCAAATCGTGCGCAGTAGCGCACGAGTACGGTACCCAGGTTGCATAAAGTCAGCCATACACTAAGAGTACAGTACTCGAGTACCGTAGTGTAAACCGATTTCGCTCTGAGACATGTTCTGGAACGGGACCCAGTACCACCAGTATCGGAACCTGGTGGGCTTCTGTAGTGCCAGACCACACTAACCCTAACTAGTGACCGCCGAGTCATTCTTTATGACGGGTACAAGGTCAAGTAAAGCCCGAGTACTAGTATGTAGTGGTATCATACCCCGCTATCAGACCCGCATCAAACTGAGCCGAGCGCGGTGTGTTACCGGCTTCATGGGGTTGGGGCCACAGGTCATAATCTTTGGTCTCTGTCATTTTATGACTTACGATGCAAGAGCAATAATCTGTTATGGTTACGGATCTTATTCATTCGAGATCCATCGGGTTTGGTATCCTTAGTGAATGGTTTTTTTCGAAAGTACTTTTTATGACCTACGGTGCGGTATGATAGTTATGCGGGTTGCGTTTAATACAGGCCGGAAGGGCAGAGGAAATAATTGCCCTTTATTAACAATTAGCGGGATATTATGCTTACTCATTTGGTGTTAAAGCCACCAATTATGGCATGTTGCCGAGGGGTTAAATTACGTTGTAGGCAGGTTAGCTGCTCTGATGGTACGCAGGCTCCCCCCGCGTATGTTTTGGTATGATAGGCTGCTTGTTCAGTAATGCAGCCAAATTAATTTTCAATAGCAGCTTTTTTTTGTTTTGCGGTGCCGGGCTTCTGTTTGTTCGTTCTTCTACTTGTTGGTGAAGCCCCGCTCAATTGATTACTTCCCGCTGCTCGATAGATCTACCCCAGCGTCCCCCGGTTGGCCCTCTGCGTTCGCCAAATCAGCCCCTTATATGTATCCCTCCACAACACTGAGATTCCATCAACAACAACACTGCTGAACGAAGCCCCTTCACCCTCGCACAACACAGCTCTACATCGTGTGTCCCTCTCCACCGTCCTCCACAGTTACCAAGATTCCCGTCTCTATACGCAAACCAAGGAACTACTCTCGATATTCACCTTCATCTCGGCTTACCTTTCGCCGCCCACTTCCCACCCCTCTAAGGGCGACGCATCATCAACTCGCCCCTTCCGTTAGCATTGTTTGAGTCGGTTTTTTTTTTACCTATATGGTCCCATACAATTGATTTGACCCGTCACGAAAAAAACGTTACCAACATTCCCGTCGCTCCTTTCCACGTACCATTTTACTTCCTTTCTTAAAGGTGCTAGGTTTTGAGCTTAAGCAGATCCTACAGCTGTTGCTAGGTGGATTTGAGAATGAAGAATTTCAGGCAGCGAGTGGGTGTACGTTCCTTCCATGGTTTTTGGTTTTCGATCCCATTAGTATCCCCGTCACTCTCCAATCTTGGATTGTCGCTAATTAGTGGATCCCGCACCTTGTTTGCCTGTTTTACAGCTCTCTCGAAAAGACCCCAAACCAAATAAGGGGAAGAAGGACTCACAGGGAAATTCTCCCTCCTCTTCTACTAGCCAACTAGTTCCGTCGGGTTCTGGGTCTTCCAGTTCGGGGGGGAAAGGTGGCGGGAGCGGTAGTGGTTCTGAGAATGGAGATAAGGCTCTAGGTCACAAACAACAAAAGGACTCCACAACTCTGACTATGGCACCGGCCGGGTCACCCGGAGGAGCTATCAACGCAGCGTCTCTGGCGGCGAACATTCAGCAACAGACAAATAATGCGACGAGTCCATCGGGGTCTCGGATGATTCCACCTTCTGTGATAGTCAGCCCGTCCTCCGCTCCTGTATGTGCTTTAAGATTTCGCAATGATTAGCTGGTAAATTTACTAATTGTTGGTATTATTATTTTTTTGTTGAAAGCATATCCCACCCCCCGGCGCCGCTGAAACAATGCCGGGCGATCTGGTTCCACCCAAGGCTGGCGCAAAGGGCGTCGCTTTTGATCGGTTACAGACCGCTCCGAAAGCGGATCAAATACCTGAAGGGCTTAAGACACCAAAGAGACAACATAGTTCTCGATTCGACGTATCGGAGAAGAGAGAGTTGGAAAAATTGCAAGCATTTCATGGTATTTTTTCACCCTCTTTGTAACCTTTGGGTCCGTACTGGTCTAGGGATGGGTTGCTGATTGCTATGTCATGATAGAGGTTCCACCACAGCGGCGACAGGATTTGTTTTTGCAAAAACTTGAGCAGTGCAATGTGATTTTCGATTTCAATGACGCCTCCGCTGATATGAAATCCAAAGAAATCAAGCGCCTTGCTCTCCATGAACTGCTCGACTATGTTGCTAACAATCGTTCTGTTATCACGGACGCAATGTACCCCAAAGTTGTCGATATGTTTGCCAAAAATCTCTTCAGACCTATTCCACCACCTGTGAACCCAGTTGGTGATGCATTTGATCCAGAAGAAGACGAACCCGTGTTGGAAGTTGCCTGGCCTCATATCCAGGTGGTATATGAGTTCTTTTTGAGATTCATTGAGAGTCAGGACTTCAATACCAACATTGCCAAACAGTATATTGACCACCAGTTTGTCCTACAGGTTAGAATCCCTTATACTTGTGATCTGCCCTCTTTGGAAGGGTTGATGGATTGCTAACATGAATCAAAGTTGCTTGAGCTTTTCGATTCCGAAGATCCTCGGGAGCGTGACTTCTTGAAGACTACCCTCCACCGCATATACGGAAAATTCCTTAACCTCCGGTCCTATATCCGGCGCTCTATCAACAACGTCTTTTTCCAATTTATCTATGAGACTGAGCGCTTTAATGGGATTGCCGAGTTATTGGAGATTCTAGGAAGCATTATCAATGGGTTCGCCCTACCCTTGAAAGAGGAACATAAATTATTCTTGACAAGGGTTCTTATTCCGCTTCACAAAGTCAAGAGCTTGAGTATGTATCATCCGCAGTTGGCGTACTGTATAGTACAGTTTTTGGAGAAAGATGCGGCATTGACTGAAGAGGTTTGAATTTTCCCAAATCTCTCAGTCTTTTTCTCTAACCACTTGATAGGTTGTCCTTGGCTTGTTGAGATACTGGCCCAAAGTTAATAGTACGAAGGAGGTCATGTATCTAAACGAGGTTGAGGACATATTCGAAGTCATGGATCCTGCTGAATTCGCTAAAGTCCAGGAACCGCTCTTTAATCAATTGGCCAAGAGCGTTGCTAGTCCACACTTCCAGGTATCTAGAGTCTTACAGTGGTGTCAAATATATTCTAATGGATAACAGGTTGCAGAACGAGCTCTTTATTTCTGGAATAACGAGTACTTTTGCAATCTGGTCAGCGATAATGTTGAGGTTATCTTGCCAATTATGTTCGCTCCCTTATACGAGAACTCAAAGGGTCACTGGAATAGGTATGCTCGTCCCCCCCCCATTAGTATAATCAAATCCGATTTGTATTACTATTACCAGGTTACTTATTCTATCCTTCTCTTTAGAACCATACACGGCATGGTATATAATGCTATGAAGCTTTTCATGGAAATCAACCCAGCTCTTTTCGAGGAGTGCACTGGGATATATGCAGCGGACCAAGAAAGTGCCCCTCAAAGGCAACAAGAAAGGGAGGCTATCTGGAAGATGCTTGAGGATACGGCAGCCAAGAACAAGAAGTCTAGAGAGGGTAGTGGTGCCAGCGAAGACGGTAAACGTTTGTCCTCTAAGGGTTCGCAAGCCGCCAGGAGTGGCTCCCCCATGCAAATAGCTGAGGATGGCGCTGGTGATAGTGAACGGAAAATGGTAGCGTTGAACATTCATGAAGAGGGAAAGAAAGTGGTAGGTGTCGCTTAGGACCTCCATATTTCAGTTTCCCCCCCATTTGAAGTAAGCGAAAATGGTGGCATAGTTGGAGGAAGGCAAGCATAGCGGAATAAGGAAGAGCTTTAGTGAACGGCAGAGAGGACGGAGGCATTACACATGTTCAAAATCATTCATTTTTCTTTCTTTTCTGAATCCCCTCCCCTTTTTCTCACTTTTTCCCTTTATCTCCTATGGCTATCAGGTTCTCCTTTACATTTCAATTCATTGTTACATTTTATTTCTTACTCTTTTTCTCTCTTCCTTACCTACCTTACTATTCTTGCTACGTCATGAGCGCCGTGCAGTCTTCTGACTTGTCATGCTTAATATCGAAAAGAAACGACGCCAGGCGCCTAATCAATCCCCACATACCCATCCACATTACCATCACCAGCAACCTCAGAAACAGCAATCGCAAACTCAACAGTCGCTGTCAAAATCTCGCCCAAGAGCCAGTAGCAGCGGGAGCATCAACAGTTCACTGAATTCTCCATCACCATCTCCTGGAAGACCGCGGTAATATCATAGCCAACTGAAAATTATACGATATATCCTTCCTCCCTTTTCTTTTTGTTTTTGTCCTTTCAGTACCATCGACGCCTTGGTTGCTTGCTTGGTTGGTTGCTAAACGGTTGAGTAGTCGCTTGCCCTCCTCCCTTTTCTTTTCGTTTCACTTTACCCACTTATTTCCTTTGAAATTGGCTTGTGAGTTTGGTTGTGCCGCGATATCAGATTGGTTGTCTTTTATCGTTTTTCTCCATTAGAATGTGACGTTTTCTGGATGGTGTGCGATGGTAGTATGATAGCAACGGGGCATGGGATAGCAGGGTGGTGGTGGAGGCTTACACAAATAAACCTGCTTTTCATCTTTTTGTTTCGTTTCGGTCATTGTTCACTTGTTTCCGCCTATTGATTGTCATGGTGGGTCTAAGCCAGAAGGAAGAAGGGAGGGAGGAAAGTAAGAAGGAAGGTGGTGCTGCATGCTTGCTTACTTGAGAGGTTTTCATGTCCTGTCACTCGAACGAAAATACATCGTCTTGCTTTGTGGCATCATATTTTATTTAGCTGCTCCTTTTGCTGTCATGCCATGCTATGCCATGCCGGGGAGGGAGGGGGAGGTAGAGAGAGAGAGAGAAAAAAGGAGCAAACGGTGGTATGCTTTACCGCTGATGAATGAATGGACCGGCCTCTGGAGTACGATATCACACTATAATAATATTATAGTACTTTTATGTCGTCGCTCAAACATGCTATCCCCCATCCTCCGCGTCTCCTTCTATCGTAACCATGACACCTATGATACTTTGCCCAAGTATATATCATACCCAAAACACCCATTAATAAACCCCCGCGACCCATTTTTATAATTCATTCAATTCCAATTTATGCAAAAAAAAAAAAAAACCAACCAACCGGCCAACCAACCATCAAACCAACCAACCAATCAATCAGCATGAGCAGCGTATATATAATTCGACAGTTTCAAACAGCAATTCAAACCAAAACCAAGAAAGAAAGAAAGAAAGAAAAGAAAAAAGCTTCCCCACCCCCGTTTCACGAAATGACGCTATCCGAACGTGCGACCCATGCAAGAAATCGGTTTTTTTTTTTTTTTTTTTACCAAAGATGCGGTAAAACCTATTCTCCGGAAACCCACCCCACTCTTCCTTCCCCTAAGGGTTGTGTTTCCCATTGACATGCATTGCAAGTTTGCAAGTTTGCCGTCTCCCTTCCCACCCCCCCCCGCCACACACACGCACATGGTTGTATATATGTATGTATGTATGTATGTATGTATGGTGACAGAACAGTCACGGTAATTATTGAAGGTTGATGATGATATCTACCGAGATCGGTACTCGTACGGCACACGACAATTGCAGTTCGATAGGGTTCGGGGCGGTGGGCGGGCGGAACTCGAATGATCTTCATGTTATCTCACTCGTATGGCGCTTTTCCTGAAGCTCTCTCTGGTGGAAGGTGTGTGTGTGGGGGGGGGTGTGATTTCTCGATGGTACTCTTTTAATCTCCCTGATTATTGGGTCGGGTGGAAATTGTGCGCTTTTTTTTTTTTTTTTTTTTTTGATGTGCAATTTTTGTTTTGTGAGTTGGCATTCACCAAGTGCTTGTAGACTTGCTTGTTACTGAATACCGGTAGGAGCCATATCACGCTTTCGGGTTGCTCTTCCTCTCGGGTGAGGCTGAATGAAAAGGGAACGGTCTTGTTGGGGGGTTGTCGAGCGATTGGTTAAACCGGGAACTGGCAGGGCGCCTTTTTCTGAGTGTGTTTCAACGGTTTGGGGCACTTGATAGGCTACCGGTAGTTAAGACACTTGTACAGTACAGTGCAAGCACAAAACTGATACAGTACGAGTACGGTAGGCAGCAAACCTGCCCGATTGTACGAGTACCATAGGTTTAAGGCTGATGGGGCTGCCAGGAGGGGGAGGAGGGAAAGAGGGAAAAAGCAAAGCATGGATTGTAGCTATTAATATCTATGGGTAAAGGTCAGTTGATTTGGTATGTGCAAGCGTTCAACAGTGATTATTGCTTCGTACAGTAAGTACAGTAATGTCTAAGCTCTATGGAATGCTATAAGGAAAAGAAGGAAAAGAAAATATTGCTCGCCAATCCACAAAGTACCGGTATCAGGTGATAAAAATGCCAAGAACTGTGAGTTTCACGCCCAAATTCAAGATTCTTGGCACCCTACCGATATTCACCGACATTTTGCGAATTGGCGAGCGGTCTAAGGTATCCATCTATGCCTTGTATCCATTTCCAAGCTTCATGTTTCCGGCCTTCCTGCTCAGCTCATGTGTGTTGATGATGGTGAGGTTTTTGATCTCGCCGAAGCCATTGTACCCGACTCCTCTAAAGTTCCACTTTATGTCCTCGACTTTCTGGACGTTACCAGCCTTGTCAGTGGCTCTGCTCCATATTTTGGTGGACTTGTCCATCTTTTTGGTCTTTTCTGCGGGGAGTTTGTGCTGCCAGATTGCCCAGGCCCATCTATACTTTTTGGCAGCACCAGGTTTGCATAGCTCTTCTGGGCTGGGGTAGAGGAGCCTGGATTCATCCCAGGTTTTGCCTTGGTCTATCGAAATTTCCACCTTGACGACCGGACCTTCGTCACCCTTAGGAAGCGCGTATCCTGCAATCTCTAGCTCACCATCAGTGAGTTTATCTAGGAAGATGGTGTCACCGGTGGCTGGGTAGCAGATAGCCGAGTTAACGGGCATCATTTGTAGCGGTTTGGCCTTATGCCAATAGTCATTTGCCTTCTTGCGAGTGTCAATCTCGGGGGGTAGAATTTTGTAGTCTCTCTGCATGTAAAAGTTGCTGCTTTCTTCGTCTTGAATGGTAATGCGATCGAGCCATTTAGTCCAACGCGCACCAGCAATTCCCGGGATCACTATGCGGAGTGGAAAGCCATGGTTGATTGTGAGAGGAGCTCCGTTCATCTGTCGGTAGATGCTGTTAGCATGTTCCTAAAAAGCTCGGATCGGGCAAGGTGAGACATACATCCAGGGCCAGAATGACTTTCATCTCCGGGTCCATGCACCGAGCTAGGCTTATCGAACTCCCGTAGTATCTGTCATCTTGGCAGTCCGTCATGTGGCAGGAGAAAGCTACATGTGCATCACCTTCTATAGTAACTCCTATCCGGGAAAGGACGTCGCATAGGAGCGGGCCACTCCAGGTGCAATTGCAAACTGCTCCGTCATTCCAATCTATACCGTCCACCTCTTTTAATTCTGTACGCATGGTATGCCTGCGATTTCCCGCACACTTAATTGTAATGTTAGCTGATGGCAATTAGGAGAGGAGAGGGAGAGAGAGAGCACATGGCCATGTGAAAATTCACCTGTAGAGCAGAAATAACTTCATGTTGAGGGAAATCGTTGCGGAGCTGAGACATGGAAATGTTGACGGTATCTTTCACGAGGCCGTCAATGCGAACCATATGAGTGTCGCCATTGATATGAGGGAGCGGGCTGAGATAGAGATGAGCCATAATTCATTGAATGAGTGCAAGGGAGTAGATACCCATGATTTCTGTCATAGGCGGTAGCAGTCTTGGTGATGAAGCTTTGAACGAGATCTTTCAACGGAGGCTCACGGTTGAGAGGCTTCTCGACGCTGTATTCGAGCTATAAGTAGCGGGTAAGCTCTAGAGTCAATGCCACTACCAGGGATTAACCAGAGAGGACTAACCAACATGGCTGGTGGAAATTGGGAGCTGAAAAAGTGTTGGGGGAAGGAAATGATCGAGTCAATTGGAAAAATTTCTCCCAGGTAACTAGAGAATTAAGGTGAAAGTAGAGGGAGGAGGGAGTAGACAAGAAAGAATGGTATGAAATACGTAGATCTATCGATGAAAGAATTGAAATAGGGTAGAAGCAGGGTACCACGTACAGTACAAGCAAACTTCAAAGCTTGAGACCGACACAAACCGAGAGCTAGTATAGTAGTAATCACGAGGGGCAGCTCAACCGGAAAAGACAACAAAAGAGGATTGGGGGTAGAAGCACCGTGAGTTGTCTGTTATTGTATGGCCCTTCCGGCTTGAGGACTTCTCCTCTGAACAACAGGTTCGTACTTGTACAATATTTTTTATGGGACGAGATAACGGTTAAGGCGCTGTCTTCGAGCTGTTATATAAATAAAATACCTTTCCCTGCTAGTTGCCACGAGCTGACATGTCCCCCCTTCCGTCCTTTTTGTGATAAACCTGTCCATCTAGTCCGTTATTGGATTAGCGGCTCTGTGAGATTGGGCATCGGGAGAAGGCCTGGAACCTCTCCCCTTGGCTAATCTTCATTGAAGGGAAAAATTTTTCTCTAAAGATTCCACGAGTCTCCTGGGGCTCGTAGTGTGAGGAAATTTAATTGAGGAATATTTCCCACTTGTGGTCGGTTGAGCGCGTGAGGTGGGATGAACACCAGACCCGCGGTGTCCTCCGGGATGATAGCATGGGAGCTTTACAATGGCAAACGCTGCAGGGGAGGAATTCGTTTAAAAAGAGGCGATCAAGGAAGGGTTGTGATTGTTTGTTTGGTGCCTCGATTATTGGGTAGTGTTATCGCCGAATACGGTATGATACCGTTAAAAGAGGTTCCGGGAAGGTAGATACTCTTGCTATGGCAATGCGGATGCATGGGCGATGTAGGACTAACAATTTACAGACATGTGGCTAGTGAAGGATGGTGTCCGAGTTGAGTGTGCAGAGGATGTTCATAAAATTGGCAACCGTCCATTATTGGGTTCTGGGCCGAGACTGTTCTGTCCTACTCGACTCGTCCTCTCTCTCTCCTGGAGGTACTTTGAGTGTTGATCCAAGATATCGAGGACGCTTTTGATGATGCTATCTCGACCATTACCAGGCACTGGAATGGAATTTAGAATCATGGTCAGACACCAAGCAATCAATGGGCTGGAAGATTACTACTTTGGAAGCTAGCACTGCTCTCACTTTTGGGGATCTTGCCTGCACCGTCTCTCTAAAGGTATGTATTCCATATCGACCCCTTACGATCGTTGATTCTAACTTGTATACCATGAACGCACCTTTGACATTGGTTTTCGAGATGCCACGACCGGAGTCTCCGCGACGTCTCTACAGAACCGCTCTATGGGCCTTGCCTATGTCCCGGCGCCTTCTACTCCCATGCGGTTGAGCGATATGTCGGATGTCTCCAATCCCATATTCACCATGCACAACTTGGCAGTCGGTGAATCCATCTGCAGTTTGGGTGAATGCTTTACTGAATTTAACAAGGCCGATTAGGCACTTGGCTTGTACAATGTGCATGGAGGGACTTCCACAGAGCCAAGCGTACAAGAATGTTCTGTCGAGTGGCTCCGGTGTTCCCATCCGTTGTCCAGAGCTGGTGGATCTCGAGGTTGGTTCAGGAATGTCGCGCAGACCGCAGGCTAACGTGAAAGAGTGGATAGATGTTGGGGCAGTGTATCATCTCGGGCCGGATCTTAAAGAAATAAGAAAGAATATCGCGTTGAAGAGTCCCGTCGTGGAGTTTCGGTTTGCGGTGGATCACGGGTTCTACCGCGAGCTATGGTGAGGCTGCCGTGAGCAGCTTCCTTGACGGAATGGAGGAGGATGTTCCCATGTGCGACTCCCACTATGTAAGATTTTCTTACAGCGCCCGGCTCATCTTACCACCCCCTATTGACTGCTCCTGGGATTGTTTTGGCTCCGCAAGTACTCGAGTACATTGGTGTGACTTTGGTTTCCCGGGGGAACACTTCCCGGACCTCACATCAGTGATGACTCCGCGCCGAGAGACTTGGCCTCAAATCTCGCGTCTGGATAAGTCCCTGGCGATGCCTCACAAATCTTTGCCGGGGCAGCTGAAGGTGGGTATTTCGTCAAGAGGCCAAACGGTAACGCTGGCAATGGGATCGTTGACAGGCCGGTATGGGTCTGGTAGCGCTTACCCGCCTTGCTGGGTGTGAGTGCTGCGTGAAGAACTTGGAGGCCTCTTTAGGGTCGGTATCAGCTGCCTCAAGACCGACTTTGGGGAGGTGAACCCCGAACTCGGGTGTTGTGTGGCATGATAAGTCACTCGATCCTGCGAGGACGCACAATTACTACGCATTCTTGAAAGCTGTGCACCAAGTGTCGCAGAAGCGATACGGACGTGATCGGGCTGCTTTTATTTTATTTTCTCAGGAAATTTTACGGGGGGCACCTTTGAATCCATGGTTGAAAGTTTCCGGAGGGAATCAAGTGTGGGTATTGGTAGCTCCTCAGGCATAACAGACGCAGGTGTTTACAAAGAGATGGGCTGCTTTCTGTATCCTTTGCTCGAATTCTCATCCTCCTGTACATACTAACTCAACATGGGTAACCCATACCGCGTCCCTCCGGCCATCGGAGAGGAATACACTTCTGTTGTACGTGACTATAGACTTGAAATGCCGTCCAACGCCATGCCATGCCTTTACGTTTAGACGATGAACTCCGGTTTCCCTACGAGAAATGTTGTTTGAACCCCCCTCCCCGATGACCCAACAAGTTGGGATCTCAGCATACTCAATGGTTCCACTCCTCACCGCACCAGCCTTCAAGGTAAGATTTCCACTTTACAATGGGAAAAACATCTGCAAACCTCAAAGAAATATCGACAAAGCAAGAGGAATCTGGATCGAAGAATAAGAATTGCTTAATCGACTGTATAGCACTCTGAGTTGTGCTCCCAAATACCAAGTAGCCCCTAAACGCTGTAGGGTATTTATAGCTCCGTATTCCGAGTCTCATAGACCTCTTCGCGCTAGCCCACTAGCTAGCTCCTCAGCCCTTCAATGCTGGCGCGATTGTAGTACCATACCGTACCATACCGTACCGTATTATATCCCGATATTCCAGTAGATTTTTCCACCAAAGTTAGAAAGGAGAAGGAAATGGGTCACTGGGATGCACGACGTGTGTGTGTGTGCTCTTTGCCCGTCGGTGGATTGCTCGTTGGTGCGTGAGGGGAGCGTGCCCAGCGTGGGTAGAGAAAAGGGGTTGTGTATGATATTGTTTGTTGACGAGTCGGGTGGCGAGCCGATGCTACTGTCGGAGGAGTTGAAGGGGATCTCATCATACAAAGTAACATAACTTATCATTCACACGGCATGCAAGATATCATAGGATCTCACTCGAGTTGCGACAACCATCCATCACCCACTCGCTCACTCGCTCACTTGAGAGATTTCCAATATCATATCACACCGATCCATTTTTCCAACAATACACATAGAGAAAGACGGTGAGAAGGGAAGAATAAATAATAAAGAACGAGCGAAAGCCAACCTCCCCCCTCCCCCCTCCCCCCCTAAAAAAAAAAAAACATAAAAGAAAGAGACTACCAAACAGCACCCCAAGCCAAGAACACGACCTCCCACAACCAACCCATCCCCAACCCTCCAGCGACCACCCTGCCAGCCCCGCTATCCGACTTTCCGGTCTCGTTCGGTCCCGTGGCGCCCTTGCGCGAGGTGGCGCTGGCGCTGTCGAGCGTGGACCTGGCGGCCGATCCGGTCCCGGCGGCGGAGCTCCTGGCGACGCTGGTGAAGGTGCCGAAGCTGAAGCCGGCGCTGGCCGTGCCGCCGGGCAGGTCGTTCGGCGTGTTGGTGCAGGAGGAGAGGGGCGGCGCCTTGGACACGTGGGGGGCCCACTCGGAGCACGTCTGCGACGAGCACACGGCGATCAGGTCGCGCCACGCCTGACTGCACGGCGTCAGCTGTCTCGGGTCATCGAGGAGGACGCACATGTTGCAGGGACCGAAGCCGGTGGGATCACGTAACGTCTGGGCCGCGATCAGCGGGAGGAGGAAAAGAAGGGAGAGGAGGATTTGTAGAAGTCTTTGTGGTGGGTTGTCCATGTTTTGTTTTCGTTCGGTGAGTGAGTGAGTGAGTGATGGGTTGTGCTCGAACTTTGTTTTTGTTTTTGTTTTTTTGGAAAACTTGAGCGTGCGGGGGAGGAAATCAACGTTGGAGAAAAATTGAAAAGGAAAGAATGGAAGGGGATGGAAGCTGTACTTGTATATATGAGCTGACGGGAAGGAAAAAAGCACTTTGTTAAATCAAGAAGAAGAAGAAAAAGAAAAAAAAAAGTGCTGTACGGTACGGGAATTCCATCCAACCGGACCCACGATTTTTCTTTTCGAAAAGAAGAAAAGAAAAAAAAAAGTAATAATAGAACGAATTAGACATTTTTTGTACAAGTATATATTTTTTTTTTGGCATCACACTTGCTGCGGCTGAGTCTATCATCACGAGTTTATATCAAGGCAACGGTTTCACCACACCAATCCACCAATCGATAGGTAATTGACGACTCTCACTCAATTCACATACCGGTACTCGAGTACTCGTACTGTACCGGTATGCACATCCGGCCTGATCCGATGACGAGGACTTTGTTTCTGTCCAAGAATGTGAGCGGTGGGGCATTTTCTCAAGTGCAAGTGTTAGTTCTGTGGTTGTAGGATACGATGTTCTGAAGCATGGTCAAGTGAATAAATGGATATGTACCCCCCCGAGACACGATGGGGTTCTTGTTTTTTTTTTTTTTTTTTGCCTTGATTCGTCTGTCCCGTCACAGTCACTCAAGTTGTGTGATTGCCGTACCCCTCTACATCTCTCTCTACAACCGAGCATTGGATTTTTTTTCCAGGAAAAAAAATAGAAAGGGGAAAAAGAAAGAAAGGAGTGAGAAAGAAAGAAAGAGAGAAGGAGAGAAGGAGAGAAAGAAGGATAAAGAGAAAGGGAGAAAGAAAGAAAGAAAGAAAGCAAAGGGAAGAAAGGGGGGGAGGGGGCCAAGAGGAAAAAGAAATACATTTGAAAGTGTGAAATTGTCTCAGCATTAAGTTATTCATATTTATTCTCCGGCACATCTTCATCCCACATTATCTTCAACATCATCATCACCATCGTCACCACTACACCTCCCTTCCCTCGCAAACTAGATTTCTTTTTCTTTTCTTATCATTACAAAGCGTACAACACCCACCCAGCAACACCCATCACAGCCTGAAGAGCGAATCCGGGAGCGATAGCACCAGCACCGGACCCAGCACCAGCGGCGCCACCGCCAGTAGTCTCGGCGGGAGTAGCAGCACGACTAGTGCCACCAGTCTCACTGGTAGTAGTGGCACCGCCACCAGAGCCGTCGGTAGAAGTCGAAGTCCCGGATCGGCTGGCGGCAGTTGTAGTAGTGGTAGCGGATCCGCTTCCGCTTCTGTTTCCGCTGGCGCCGGCACCGGCACCGAGGGTGGTGATGGATGTGAAGGTCGATCCGCCAGAAGTGAAAGTGGTGGTCGCGACAGACGAACCGGGGGAGGATTGGGCACCCGAGGTGCCCGGTGCGCCAGAGGTGGTGGAGGCCGGCGGGGATACGCTCGTTGCACCCGAGGTCGGGGTCTGGATGCTCGCTGTGTTGGTACCGCCAGCACCGGCGGCCGGGGCGGCACAGCGGGCGTATGGGGTGTCTCCGTAGTCGTATTTGCATGGGCCGTCCCGACAGCTAATCACTCATGACGTCAGTATTTCGTTTTTTTTTTCCAATGGTGTTAAACTTCGCTCCTTTTTTTTTTTTTTTTTTTGGTGGGGGGGGGGGGTTTGAGTCGTTAGAAAAAAGCTGATTGTGTCTTATGGTTATGATAGTGTTGGGAAAGACTCACTCTCCGAGAGCGCCCTTCCATGCGGCCGAGCAAACCGTCAGCAATGTGTCGAGTTGTCCGCAAGGTTCACAGTAGTTCGGCGCATCCTGGGCGACGGCCGAGGCTGCGATTCCGGCTACGAGGACAATGATTGAGGTCTTCATAATCGATATCATTTGTTTTGTGTTGATGGGGGGCTAAAGAGGAATCAAGAAGTGGTGGTGCTTCTGGTAGGGTTCGCTCAAGGAGGTGGCAGAGGTAGGATAAAATGAAGGAGGAGGAGGAGGAGAATGAAGGTAGCAAACGAGGAGCAACAAGAGACGTGGGAGGGGGCAGATTTAAGCACCGGATCTTGCTGAGGGAATGACGAAGTGGAAACCAGGGGTGTGCGCAATTGAGTGGAGGTGGGACATCGGGGGGGAATTCGTAGTGGCCCGGGAAGTGGGTGTCCGGGTGGAAAGAAAGGCACACACAAAGCCTGATAGGGACTCGTGCGAAACACGTAACCCTAATACAAGATAGGTCGAGGCGAGATAATGTACCAAGTATCATACCGGTACTCGAGTGCTCTGGCTGTACTCGAGTATGCTGGCTGGCGAGAAAGAAAAGAGGAGGAAGAAGAAGAAGAAGAAGAAAAACCAAGCCACCAGGAACAGATCTTCTTGCCTCTAATAATCTACCCAGAACTGGGGAGGGCGGGGCATGAACCGGTTTGGGAATACGTACTTGGCCGTGTCAAGGGTTTGGAGAGGTGAGGGGGATAGGAAGAAAAGGACTTGATGAACCAGCTTGGTGGGACCAATCCACTAGGACGTAGAAACCCGACGAACAAAAAGCAACTCGGCAAGGCCAAGTCAGGGTGAACTCTTCACCGCCTCTGAGCCTGCAGTGCTCGAGCATATATGATGCGGTACTGTATCCTTGGAATTGGCGGTGCTGTATGGGTATGGAAAGGAGAGAGGCATCTCTCTCTATCTCTACTCTTCATTACCACTCAACATGTTCCTGGCACCATACGATAATAGGAACGGTAGGAAGTGCCTAATTGAGTAGGTACGAGTACTCGAGTAGACTTGCCAATCATCTTTGGCGCGGGAATTATTATTTCCACCGTTCATCACCCCCCTCACGCGGAAGGGACATAACACAAGCTGACCAGAGCGAAGAGGAAGAAGAAAAAGAGCTTGAGCGCTTCAACTCCACTGGTCCATCAGAACCAAGATAAACCCAGCAGAACACAGGATAGCCTGTCTAGGGTGCCCCGGGCACGATATGGTACATATAGTTGGCAAGAAAACGTACTGTACGCACGTATCCATCCATCCATCCAATCACACCCTTACTGGAAAAGGCAGAAGAAAAACAAAAAAAAACAAGAAAACCAATAATACCGGCAAGTTGAGTGGTGGCGGATCATCCATCGCTGTCAAAAAAAAGCCTCCCAAATACAATGCTTTTACGTTGAAATAAGAAGTGGCTGGGGTGGGACTTGCGACCACATCGGAATCAGGGGCGTGGGAGGTTCGGTCCTGGCCATACAGGGTTGGGGGCACGTACACTGTACGGCGTGCTATTGTAATTTCGAGACAAGGCGAGGATGGAGATGTCTCCGCTCGTAGATAATGCGGTGGCGTTCCAGTACTGCAATCGAGTATACTGTACTGTGCTCCTCCAGAATCTAAACATTATAAGATCCCCCCTTACCCACCCGCGAAAAATCATTCAATAAAACGGGCCAGCTTCGCGATGGCACAGTGCTCGAGCACTGCACTCGAGCACAGGTAGGGTCGATTTGAACCGCAATCACAATTAAAATCGCAATTCCATGAGTTCTGGAGAACCGGCCGTTCCTTGCATCGTTGATATCCGGCGATACTCCTTGCACTCGAGTACGAGTACTGTACTCTGCCGGGAATTGTGCACGCGGCGCGGGGGGGGAAAAGAAAAGGAGTTATACTTCGATTCGAGAGATTGTGAAGAGTTTCCAAGGGTCAATTTTTATTTTTCATGTTCTTGGATGAGAGCGTGAGAGAGAGCGATGTACAGTACAAGTAGTCTAGTCCGTGTTGTTTCGTTTCGTTTTGTCTTTATTGTTCGAGGCGTTGGCAAAAGGTAGACCAATTCCCAACCAGCCCGCTCAGGTATCATACCAGTATTGTACTCGAGTAGAGTACGAGTAGGTTTCGTTTCGCAAATTCTCGCGGTCCATTCGGTGCTGTATCGCCCAGCTTCCCCACGATGATACCGAATGGCCAGACGCGGTGCACCGGTTTTGGTACCCACAGCACGTTCCATTACACCCTACCTAGCATAGCATACCGGTAGCCCGCTCGAGTACGATATCATCATAACACCCAAGCATCATACTCGGTCGGGTACGAGTAAGCACCACAAGTAAAAAGCGATATGAGATTTACCAGTGATATCGCAAACAACCCCAACATGCCGCGCAACTGATTTCCGTGATCGTCCTTTCTTGCACCGCCCATTTGTCTCACTCGCCACCCATGGGGGAGAGGGAGAGAGATATCATGGAAAAGCGTTGAGTAAAGGGAACAAATGCCACGGATTGGCGTCAGGTTGGCGTCATGGGTCGGTTAGGAGAAGCCAAGGTTGGTTAGAATGGTTTGTCGTGTGTGTGGATGCGGGAGGGAGGTGATTGGATTGGGAGGGTACATTAGGAGTGCTTTATTTCTTTTGTTTGTTGCAGCTTTTTGCCTTGCTTTGTTGCCCGTATGGGCATTGGAGATGTACCCGTACTGTATTGTACTCGTACAGTACAGTACACGCATGCATCATGGGAAGTCGGGCGTGGGCATGGGGGTTAAGGGGAGTACGAGTCAACTGAGCAAGTGTTTGTCTGGGAAAAGTATAGTAGCATTATGATACCATCTTGCCATTGATATACAGATGCTTTACCCGCACTCTCCTCCAAATTACTCTCTCCGAGAGCAGCACAAGCCAGCGACGATATCGTAACATGAACGATATCCCAGTAACTTACCATACCATGATCCCCCCCATACAGGCTAATCGCGTGGATTAATGTTTCTCCTCCTTGTGCAGATCCCGGGCTCCGCCCCCGGCGATTCATCGTCATTCAGATATCCCCGGCTCCCTCCCCCTGCACGCCACACGAACGGGCCAATAGAGGAGGTGAATTACGGTGTGAGGAGGGTAAAGTACAGCTACGTGCAGAAAGTTCTGACACCCCGGCTGGTACTGTAACACAAAAGGGCCATAGTAGATGTATTATTATGTACAGGTACTTCAAGAAGCAGATTCATTATCCTTTAAACTACCACTTCGTATGCCCTCCATCATTTGCAATAACTGCCCGTATCTTATTTCCCATACTCCTAACTAATTTATTTAATACATTTTGATCAATCTCCTCCCACTCTGCTGCTATTGCAGTCCACTATTCATCCTCGTTACTAGGTCCGTTTTCAATAGTTGTAAATCAGTGTCGAAGTGAGGCTTTGAGAATACTCTAAACGTTTTCAATTGGATTAAGGTTGGGAGAAGAGGCTGGAAGACGTAGGATTTGAACCCCATATTCTAGGTAAATAGTCCTGTTGAGATTACTAAAGTGATATCCTGTATTATTCAGAACAACGCAATAGTCCTCTATCTTGTTGTCAAGCAAAAGGAGATAAGGGATCAGGTATGGCTCATTGACCTCAGTTGCATATTGATAACCATTAATACTGAGTCTGTCACTATCAGAGATTCGTTCTTCAGATTGACGCTGTCGAAGGCGAATTAGAAGTATCTGACTTCCATATGTAAATGCAGCCCAACATCCAACTCCAAATCTTCCAGATCGAAAGGTAGATACAAGGTTTTGATCGAGTAACTCTTGTCTAGGCTTGACTCATACTCTTCGATTATGGTGATAACCCTCAAACTCAACCTTAGACTCATCCAACCAAACCATTCTCTTCCACTTATCCAAATCCCATACAATCTTCTGTAGACACCAGAGTTTACATCAAATCTTTTTAAAACTATTAAGGAAGGGCTTTTTGCGAGGCATTTGTAGACTGAAACCAAGTCTTTTCATGGTCTTATTCAAGGTTATACGACTAACTTGAATATCAAGCTCTTGAAGCTTCTTTCTAAGCTCTTGTAAAGATGCCTATGAATTTGCCTTAACTAGGGAATCAACTGTTTCTACTATTTCTTCCGTAATTTTTGATGGTATACCTAAGCGAGATGCCTTATCCGAAAAGTCCTAGGTTTGAAATCGTTTAATAATATTGTAAATAGTAGAGACAGGAATTTTAGTTTTCTCAGCTGTTCGCTTATACCCCTAGCCCAAACTTCTCAGAAATATTACTTCCTGCCGCTTGTCATGTTTGAATATACTCGAAGTACGTGGAGGTGCCATTTGCTGATTTCCAGAGAAAATTTGATTTTTAAGAGAGTAGATAATCAATAGAAGAATACTGATCGGGAATGATGATACCCATTTACTGACTTGTTACTTGTATAATTTGGTTACCTAAGTATGAGTTCATAATAATACATCTACTATTCCTTGGGTGGTCTGAAACAGTAAAATTTCCCAGCCAGACACACAGATGTTATTATAAGAAATACAATATCATAATAGGATAGGCTAAAAAGTAAAGAAGCAACGTCAAGCATTCAATAATGATATGAAAGTTCAACCAAGTCCAGCGATTAACACAATGCCACAATTGAAGCAATCTCAAACAACTTTATCTACAATTTCAACTAACTTTACTATTCGAAAAAAATCAACCCATGTGAGAACATGTATGCCAAAGCTCCAATAATCTGGAGTGGTCCTGGTCAGTCAACTACCATATACTCCTCTCAGTCTATGCCAAGATCACCTAGGTCAGCTGCTATTGCTATGGGGGAATGACTCAGTAGATGTGGATATAGTACAAATATTCGAGTTGTTTTGGGATAATGAGGTGATTGATGTAGTAGTTGAGGCAACTAACCTGTATGCAGATACAAAAGATGCCAGGAAACGGTCTACAGATAGAAGAGTCTTAGGTCGTCCATGGAAGAAGGTAATCAGAGGTGAAATTAAGCTCTTTATAGCTATTTTAATATATATGAGAGCAAAGAGAGGAAGTGGGATTGGGCCAGGGAGCTTTTGGAATTGAAGAGAAAATACAAGATTGATCTTTCGAGT